AAATTGGGGTTTAGAAAAAAATTGTGCTGCATTACTGCATTACATCCGTGTAGCTATAGGAAACCCACACGCTTATTTATGAACTGTATATGCTCATGTTGTGTCATCTAAAAACAGAATTAAAAGAGTAGAATAAACTTGCCTGTTGTCTTCTCGTTAAGTTTCATTCCGCGCCAGGATGCTAGTATGTCAGTTGTCTTGCGTGACATTTTCCGCTGAAGTACGTGACAGCAGTCCCTAAAATCAATGCGATCGTGGCAAACCATGTACCAAGATGACGGACGAAGCAGAGTATTCCCAATTCTTGGCATTACATGGAGGCCAATTGGAAGTTACTGGTATTCCTGTTCAGTTTTGGAAAACTCTCCACGAGAAGTTGAAAAATGAGGTAATTTTCTTTTAGAAAGTCAAATGAAAGCTGGTTGTAAAAAGAAACGCACGTGGTTGCATGAGAGATAACAGGAGATAATTCGGAAGATTGCAATTGTGTTGTAGTACAATACTTGCAAGTTTTAACTTGATCGACTTGAGCTTAATCCTGTTTGTTTCTCGTGACACATGGGGCTGCTTCCATTGCCCTACTTGGCTATTGGCGTCTCTACGAGCGTATGGACTTTTCTTCCTGTGGCTTTTCCCCTGGCTCCCTGTGGATCAGTGTATGGATCCACTTCTGCTAGCATAATATAGTCCCTTTCCTGTATCTCCTTTTGGCGTGACTTTACATAGCTGCATGTTGAACTGCAATATACAGTGTATGTAGAATGCCACTTTACTATCTCTTGATTTATTTTTAGACTTATGATGCTGGGTTGTTCTTTACCATGGCTAAGGATGAAGAAGGAAGTTTGAAAGTTTTTGTTACCAGTGAAGAAGGAATAAAAGTGTCAGATCCAAACTGGTGAGAAGTCGGATCATGTGTACTAAAGACATCCACAGTCGAGTGTTGATAGACACCCTCCATCGATACCCTTGATCGATACTCAATTGACACTCAATCAACACCTCCATTGACATTCAATTGACACCTCTGTTGACACTTGATCGACACTTGATCAACATCTTGGTTGACAGTCGATTGAGAATCAATTTATTTTCACAGACAGGTCATTGAGTGTTGATTTATACATACAAGGCCGACTATCAACCGACTGTCAATTAGGTGTTGGTGTAGATGTTGATCGATTGTCAACTATACTTAAAGCTTGGAAGTACAAACAGACATGCTAGATATTACAAAACAAACAACCCTGTCAAGCTGAAACTTTGTAAAATGCCAAGTTTGTAGAGGATCTTTCATCTATTGATGAAAGGATATTAGGTTGTTTTTTTGTCTTTTTGGTAATGAAATTGATCCTTTTTAATGAAAAAAAAAGTGTTTGCACTTCATATTGATATTTGCTACATTAATAACATTACATTATAGATTTGACCAACACCAAGGAATTAAAATCTTGTCAAGTAGTGTTATTGTAATGATTAGTTATTTTCTCTTGGCATTCTGTTTCCTGTGCAGTGTGTTTTTAATTGATCATGCCTGGACATACCAAGTAAACTATGCACGTGCTCAGCTTAAAGTGGTACCTGGTCTTGCTGACAGAATGGGCTCTTTAATGGGATTAACAAGTATGATATACCAACTGTAATTTTGAGACAATGCTTTTAAGGTGGCTGAACACAGGTTTTGATACCTGTGTTTCATTCTCCTTTTTCTCTCAAACCCTTGATCCCTCAGTCGTCAAAAATGGCAGCAAGCAAGTTAACAACACAAACTTTGGTTTTTTGATGGTTAAGCTGACGTATGTGCCATTGCCATGGCAACATGAATAAATACAAACAGGCCTTTAAAATTGGTTTTGTTTATTTGTAGAAAATCTAGTCGTTAGATTTTCTTTATAATTTGCATGCAACAAGCTTGTAATGATTCTCACAAGTTAACACCATTTTGCTAATAATTTAACAGAAAGATCTTTCATTATCCCTTGTTGACGGTTCACTGGAATATCTAGAATTTCCTTTGTTAAAGTTCAGTTATTTTCAATGCTCCAGTTACTTATTTCCTAAAGTACTTTCGTGCCAAATTTCGTGAAATCCTAATGAGTGGTTCTCGAGAAATAAGCATATTTCCTGATTGAAAAACGTTACTCTGGTTTAAAAAATGTAAAAATGTTAGTAAAAATTTTTTGTAAAAGTCCCAACATTTCGGCTAAAACTTCAGCCTTCATCACGGGAAAGTGACAAGGAATTTGTTAAAAAGGCATGTTCTTATACTATACAAATCAGCAAATCGGAGCTAATTATGTTCTGTCCCTTAAGGCTAAATTTAAAAATTCGTGCCGCAAATGCACGCCATCACCACGGTTCAGCGGATTCCTACAAGTGTTAATTTCCCATGCTTCTAAAATACGTCTGTTGCGCCAATTTGTGCTTGCACATAAAATCGTTGAAGATTCCCAGGAGATGGTGTGGCCAGAGTGTAAACAATGTTCTGCTAAAGCTGACTTGTGCAAGTGTTTGTTTACAACCGCTTTTTGATGTTCTTTGAGCCGGGTGGAAAATTTTCGTTTCGTTTCCCCGATGTAGCTTTTGTCACAACCTTGACAGGGAATTGAATAAATTGCGCCATGAATCTGATCTTTTGGAACTGGGTCTTTTGGTTTGGGAAATAAATTGCCGATGGTATGGTGTGGTTTTAAAGCAACTTTGATATAGTAATTGCTTAGGATTCGCTTAATCGGTTCCTTAGTGCCCTTGACATACGGTAAAATGCAGAAACCTTTTTTGTCATCCGGTACAGTTGCAGGTGTTTGTTGAGAAGGCCGTTTCAGTTTACTTGCATGATAGCCATTTGTCCTGAGTGCCGCGATCACGTTTCATTTCCTTTGATTGTTGGTCAACAGAAGACGGCATAGCTTTTGCACGATCAGTCAGAGACTTGACCACAGCCCTTCTGTGAGCAACCGGATGGTGAGAGTCAAACAAGAGATATCACTTAATTTTCTTTGTGTGTCGGTTTGCGATAGACTTTAGTGGAGAGTTGGCCATCATCTTGTCGACAGACAGTGATGTCAAGAAAGGATATTTTCCATTCTGTTTCTCTTTCAACTGTAAATTGGATCAACGGCTCAATATTGTTCAAATGACTCTGTAAGGCTAGCACCAGGTTGGATTTAACAGTGGCACACACATCGTCTACATATCCTTTCCAAAAACACGGTTGGGAAAGAGAGGTGGATAGTGCTCATTCCATGACCAGGTTTGCCATAACAGCTGACACTGGAGAGCCCATGGTGGTACCGAAGATCTATTGGTAGTGATTGTTGTTATACTTGAAATTTGTTGTCGACAAACAGAAATCCAACAGGTCCACAATGTCATCGACAGGAATGGTGGTTCTATCCTGCAAGGTGTCATCATTGGAAAGCAAATCTTTAGCAACTTGAATGGCGAGTTCCACAGGAATAGATGTGAACAAAGAGACAACTTCAAAGGAAACCAGCTCTTCATCTTTTTTGAGTGAGACATTTTTCATCTGTTCACAAAATTCCACGCTGTTCTTGACCGTGAAATCTGTCTACCCATTATAGGACTCAGGATCTGCGCCAAATGTTTCGATAGCATGTAAGTTGGAGAGTCTATGAATGAAACAATAGGTCTTAAGGGGAAACCAGGCTTATGAATCTTTGGTAAACCATAAAAACGAGGAGGCAGTCCATCAGAACTGCGAAGTCTTTTGTAAAGACTGTCACTGATCTTGTTCTCTCATGTAAGATTGGCTAATTTTTCATTGAGCTTCTTCTCCGTTTGCTGTGTGGGGTCTTTATCTAACCCCTTGTAGGTTCTTTGGTCGCTGAACCGTGGTGATAGCATGCATTTGCCGCATGAATTTTTAAATTTAGCCCTAAGGGACAGAACATTCTTAGCTCCGATTTGCTGATTTGCATAGTATAAGAAAGTGCCTTTTTAACAAATTCCTTGTCACTTTCCCCTGATGAAGGCTGAAGTTTTAGCCGAAACGTTGGGACTTTTGCAAAAAATGTTTACTAACATTTTTCCATTTTTTAAACCAGAGTAACATTTTTCAATCATGAATCAACCACCTTGTTGCAGGACCATTTTTAAAAGGCATATTTCCGGTAGTGCAATTTTTCATTCAATCGCAATGTTTTGACTTACTACGCATGCGCTGCATTTAACTGGGTTGTTTTGGTAACAAAGAAAAAGCTGAGAATTGCTGGGTTCTTTGCATCGTTACCTTTTCTAACATATCTTTGTAATAAAAGACTAAAGCCATCAATACACTNTTAAATTCTTAGAAAATCGGAATAATGTTTTCGAAAGTAGTTCCCTTAAAGCGTTCTTTAGGCAAAGTTTCAGGATTTTCGATTTTTCAAGTCTGGCCAGGCATTCTCGATATTTCCAGTCAGTGACACATAACCGTTTAAGAGGCATTTGAAACCGTCGCGCAGATAAACAAAGAGCTAAGAAGAACGGAATTTAATGGCGCATTTTACAAAAAAATTCAAACTTCCAGTCGATAGATTTGCTTTTTTTTTGCCAAACGTAGAAAATCGGTAGAGAAAATGATCCTTGAAAAGAAAAATAGGGGCCACCGAACGTCTAAGATCGTTGAATCCAGGGAAGGCTATAGCAATGACCATTTGCCCTATCATTGTTCATTTTATTACTGAGCCCGCGCGCTCATGGATGACGTGGCGTGTGAGTTTGCGGTAACAAAGAAAAAGCTGAGAATTGCTGGGTTCTTTGCATCGTTACCTTTTCTAACATATCTTTGTAATAAAAGACTAAAGCCATCAATACACTACGTTCAATTATAGAGAAAAATAGCACAGATAGTGTGGGTGTTGAGTAAATCAAATGATCGCTCTATTGACGGCATGTTTGTTT